AAGACCCGGCCCCTCTCTACATCCACGGTGACTGTGTGGAGAGGGTCCACTCCATGAGGTTCCTGGGCGTGCACGTCTCCAACGATCTCTCCTGGTCTGCAAACACCACTGCGGTGGTGAAGAAGGCTCAGCAGCGTCTCCACTTCCTGAGGGTGCTCAGAAGAAACAACTTGGAGGAGAGGCTACTGGTTACCTTCTACAGAGCCGCCATAGAGAGCATCCTGACGTACTGCATCACAGCATGGTACGCAGGGTGCTCAGCTGCAGACAGGAAAGCTCTGCAGAGAGTCATCAACACAGCCCAGAAGATCACTGGCTGCTCTCTGCCCAGCCTGGAGGACATTGCCAACTTTACTGATCATATTGATCACTGTGCAATAAACATACAACTATGTGCAATAACTAACTACACCAAAGATATGTTGTTATATGTTGTTATATGTTTGATATACTGTTGTCTTCTACTCTTTTTTTGCACCAAGTGAGTAGCGCTCAAATCTCGTTCTACACTGTACAAGGACAATAAAGGCTATTCTATTCTATTCTAGCTTTTCGCATGGTTTTAATTGCTTATGGCATTTCGTGTACTGTAGACTTTGTCAGCGAAAGCAAACCATGTTGCCTTCAGTATTTAGTGTCTGAGAACCGCAGCCTTCTTCACAACGCCCACAATAGGGCTAAAGCGCCACCTGTTGTAAAACGAATGAAATGATTAGTTCAAGGTTCGTTCACGACTCGTTCATTTTACTGTTCGAGAGTCAAAGCTTTGAATCAATAAAAAGAGTCGGTCTTCCCATCACTATCACCAACGTACGTTCCCTAGAACGCCAACTGGATTACCTTTAGATAGATTTAAACACCAAAAGGGAGACGAGAAACACTGAGTGGGACATGTTCAGAAGCTGCAACAGACAGTCAACACACAAATGTGGAGGAGTATGCTGCATCAGTGTCTGGCTACATCAAGTGGTGCATGGAGGAGGTCACAGCAACCAAGAAAATAATTACAACGGCCAACCAGAAACCATGGATGAACAAGGTACCAGACTTAGGGAATGTAATGCAACCTTCAAATCTGGTGACGCAGTGGCACTCAGATCAGTGAGAGCCAACCTGAACTGTGCCATCAGGAAAGCATGTCCACAGTCAGAAGATCCAGGGTTTCTTCAATGACGCCAGCAACACCAGACAACTGTGGCACGAAATCCAATCTGAGGACGCCATCTCCACTGAGGACGCTATCTCCAATGCTCTCCACCTGAGCCTGAAGCACTTGGAGGGAAAAAAACACCCACGTAAGGATGCTGTTTCTGGACTTCAGCTCAGCATTCAACATGATCATCACCCAGGACCTAATATGCTAATTGGGCCCCTTGGGGCTTAACACCCCCCTGTGCAACTGGCTGCTGGACTTCCTCACTGACAGAACCCAGTCTGTCTGAGTGGGCAACAACACCTCCAGTGTCATCTCCCTGAGCACCGGCTCCCCTTAGGGCTGCGTCCTAAGCCCGCTGCTGTTCACTCTGATGACCGATGACTGTTGTTCCAGGCACAACACCAACCACATACTAAAGTATGCAGATGACACTACAGTTGTGGGGCTCATTCAGGATGACAACGAGCTGGCCTACAGAGAGGAGGTACGATATTTGGTGGACTTACGATATTTGGTGTCAAACAAATCGACAAGACAAAGGAGATCATCGTTGACTTCAGGAGATCCCAACCCAGCCACACACAGCTATTCATCGATGACACAGCAGTTGAGGTTGTCAGCTACACCAAGTTCCTGGAGGTGCATATCACAGACGACCTCGGCTGGTCACTACACACCACCTTCTTGGTGAGAAAGCACAGCAGCACCTATACTTCCTGCGACAGATGGGAAGGGCCTCCCTCCCCCCTCCCATCCTTTCCACCTTCTACAGAGGGACCATCGAGAGCCTGCTGACCAGCTGCATCTCCGTCTGGTACGGGAGCTGCAAGGTCTCAGACTGGAAGTCTCTACAGAGAGTGGTGAGGACAACGGAGAAGATCATAGGGACTCCACTTCCCCCCATCCAGGATGTGGCACACAGACACTGTTAAGCCAGAGCTCACCAGGTTCACTCTGACCCCACCCACACCCTCCATGGACTGTTCTCCCTGCTGGCATCAGACAGGAGGTTCCGCAACATTTGCTGCAAAACAACGCAATTCAGGAACAGTTTCTTTCCCCTGGCCATCAGACTGTTAAATACAAAGTCAGACTGTTAAATACCAAATATCAAATTACCCTACCCAAACTACCCATGAACTGTCTTTAAAAAACGAAAAACCAAAAAAACCAAAAAAAAAAAAAAACAGGTGCAATTGCACTGTGCCATATTTCCTGTTCAAATTCTGTGCAATAGCTCTAACACAATTATTTATCTATTTATCTATCCTGTTCACATTTATCACTTCATACTGTTTATATTTATATCTATTCCATTCTGTTACATTTGTCACTTCCGTACTGTTTACATTTATATTTATATTTACCTAATAATTTATCTTGACACTTCATAACTCTGTTTGTATATTTACCGCCTTAATATATAATCATGTATATAGACATACTATAAGTAATTACATGGCCTACCAACTGTGTACTTTGTACTGTGTACTTTGGTACATTTCGTTGCCAGACTCACTGTTTTATGTGTTTCTGTGCAATGACAATAAAGAAAGTCTAGGTTTCTCTAAGTCTAACCTGGCTTCAATTACTCCCAAATCTTCATTGTATGGCTCATCAACTTTATCTCTCTGTAGTTGTTACAACTCTGCACAACACCCTTCTTATAAATTGGCACCAGAACACTTTTCCTCCATTCATCAGGCATCTGGTCAGTCTCTAGAATTCTGTTGAACAACCTAGTCAGAAAATCTATCGCCACTTCTCCTAAGCACTTTCCACTTTTTCTACTTCATCCTTTCTAATCTGATCTACCTTCTTCCTAATAGTTTCTGGTTCCTTATTCCTATGTTCCCATTCATTTTTCTCATTCAACAACTCCTTAAAGTACTTCTTCCATCTTCTCAGCACACTTTCCTCACTTGTGATTACATTCCCATCTCCGTCCAACCTCATCTGCTGCATGTCCTTCCCCCCTTGATTTCTGGAATGAGCTGGATTGAGTGATTCCTCCTTTTCTTCCAACTCACAGCCCACTTGTGAGGCACAGAACCACTGACACCATTCATCATCAATCTTACTCCTTCTATTTCTACCTTCACACACATCAACCTGTCTGTCTCTGGTTTCACCTCTACCACATTTATTGCATATTCTTTCTTTAGGATCACCCCTACTCCATTTCTCTTCCTATCTGAACCATGATAAAACAGCTTGTAGCCTCCTCCAATGTTTCTAGCCTTGCTGTCCTTCTACTGGGTCTCCTGCACACACAAAATGTCTGCTCTTCTTCTCTCCATCATATCAGTTAGTTCTCTACTTTTCCCTGTCATTGTACCTACATTCAGAGTTCCAGACTTCAGACCAACAATTTTATCCTTCTTTTCTCTTTTTCTCCAAATCAATCGCCTCCCTCTTCTTCTTTGACTTCGACCAACAGTAGTCCAATTTCCACCAGTACCCTGTAAGTTAACAGCAGGTTAACGGCGGTCATTGTTAACCTCGGCCCCGGCTGATCCGGTATGAAATAAGCTTTTGTTGTACGCATACTTGATTTGACCAAAACTTTTACATCAGATGCTCTTCCAGATGCAACCCTCATAATTTATCCTTGGGAATGGCACTCTCTCTGCAATATGAATTCCATGTTAAAATTTAAAATACCAACACTTTAATGTTACGTCAAAGTTGGTGTATGGTAAAGTGCGTCTCTGTTAATATTTATTATATGAGATTAAGTTGTTATGTTACACTTTGTGTTACTACACTGTACTTCTAATGCCTGTACTTCCAATTACCTACACACACAAACCAACAAATGACCAGACACACACACACACACACAAGAAGAAGTATCTTGTTTTTCCTGTCTACAGTACATACCTGTGAAGGCAGTCTTGGTGATAGGCGCAGGGTTACACATTGGTGATCTCCTGGAATGATAGAAACAAACACACACACACACACAGTGAAACATTGCCTGGAAAGAATTCAATTAAAAACTAATTTCTGCAGAAGCACTGCAATTGTAGTACCCGTTATGAACAGCAGAGGGTGAGCAAAGTCAAACTCTGAGCCAGCTCTGACTTTAAATAGGTGGACTCAAATCAGTAACACTAAGGAACACATTATCTGAAAAAAAAATGTTTATGATATAGGTCTGACAGACTTACTTATTGAACACTCTGTCTTGCTGTAGATTAGTTAATGCACCGAAGTTGTTTCGTACAGTTCTTAAACTGGCAAGAACCTGAAGACATTATGATAGAATGATTATTCATATAACAGAGTAAAAAACAACAACAACAACAACAAAAACCACTGCAACACTAGGCGGGTATGCTCACCTGTGCAAATGGGGTTACAATCATATCATCACCATGACTGAAAGACACAAAGAGACGAGCTCTTAGAAAAGAGATGCACATCAGGTCAACTTTAATGGCTAATTTCACAATATTACTTCTGTGAATCTGTGAATGAGTTTCTGACCTTTTTAGTTAAGTCAGTTTTCTTTTGTCGACTTCATTTTGACCATTTTGGAGTCATGCAAGGAATTTTGTAAGGAGAGCTGTCCCTCCAGTTAATAAATTATTTATTTTTTCAAAGCAACTGGAAAAAGGAGAGAGATAATTGAAACAATTGGTTTTGAGTGGACTGAAAAGTCACTTATTTAATACTCCAAGAATAAAAGGCACCAGGAATCAAGTCTAGGGTTACAGCAGGACATTGGTTTTCATGCCCATTAGTCTGTTTGTCTAAGCTGGATTGAAATACTTGGTTTTCAGTCAATATTTTATTTCCGGTTGGCCTCAGCGTACAGCGAAGGCAAATGTAAAGCTGGCAGAGTGGGGGAAACAGCTATCAATTTATACTGTACGCTGACTACAAATAGGCCTGCCAAGGTTTGTTTGTGTGTTTTTATCACATATGGAATGTGTTTGATTACTGTGCAGTGGGAATAGGGAGTAACTATATAAATACATAAATGGATATTTGAACTGAGAGCACAGTTGAAATTTGTTTAGTTTGTGTGCAATACCGAAGGCACAATTTTAGTTATATGGGCGAAGTGGAAATGTTTTGATACATTAACTCAGGGATTCTCAGTGTGGTGCGTGCACCCCCAAGGGTGTGTGAGCTGACACTAGACAAGCTGCATGAGACAAAAAAAAATGTGGCAGTTAAAACTTTTTTTCTAAAGTAGGCTACATATGTGTGTTCAAAAAAATTGTAAACATTGCACTTTAGTCAACTGAATCAAATTACATTTAGTTAACTAATATAATTTTGATATTTTGTTGACTTATATAAAGACAGTTTAATTGATTAAATTGGGGCAGCGGTGGCTTAGTGGTTAAGGAAGCGGAGTTGGGTCTGGAAGGCTTCAGATTCGAATCCATCAGCTACCAAGTTACCACTTAGGTGCTCTGAGCAAGGCACCATCCCCACACTCTTTTCCACGGGTGCTTAAGCTGCCCACTGTTAGCTTTGGTGATGGGTTTTTTGTTGTGTGGGCAGTGGTGTGTTGTGTCACTTTTTTTTTTAATTACTTTGACTAGGTCACTATTCAGTGAGATGACTTAGACTTAGGATTACAGCCCAAAACCATCTGGTAACCATCCCACCCTGACATTGATCCTCAAAATAAACTCAAAACACACTCACATGTCACTAGCAATGGAGGAGTTACGGGACATGGACTTGGGGGAGAGGTCATAGTCGCTGTCAGAGCGGTACAGGAATGACTCTCTCCGCTGGCTGTGGACAAAATTAGCCTGCAGGATGAGGCCTGAGCCTGGGCTGGCCATTGGGTCCAAGGGGCTGCGACCTGATGACGTGCCATTGTCCACATCAAAACTGTAGAGAAAATAAAGAGATCCAAATATGACGCTTGAAGTTTTATTCAGTATTACAAATTGCCAGATAAATTGGTACATGTTTTTCTCAAAACCAAATCAGTTTCGAGTTTCCAGTTCCAAGATGTCCACTCATTATTAATTTGTAAAAATTCTGCTAAATCAAACTGAAATTAATGCTTCAATAATTATTTTTGTTAAAATGTGTTGACATAAAACCACATTTCAGTAGATTGGACTAGTAATTACACAGAAGTAATAAAACCAGAAAAGAACCCATGTAAAACGAGGCCAAACATTTTAATTATCCTCAGAGGAACCTTCTAAATGTGAGGATTATACTGCTTACAGCTATAGTAGTACAGCACAATCTGGTTATTATTAATAAGGTGACATGATTTACGGCCCATTGGCATAGGTTTAATGTGTAGAAAAAATATTATTTTTCTTCATTTTGCATGGAAACCTCACATTATTACTAAATCATTATCACTTAAAATTGTATTTGCACAATGTGTCTGTTGGCAGGAATCACTGTATATAAAGGCTTTTAACTCGTACTTTTGTTCTCTTTTATCTTTACACATCGGTGGAGATACAGTATGCACTGTAGCTGGTCTGTCGTTGCAATAATAGTAGGAATAGAACCGTTAACCAAATCCAGATAAGAGCTTGAAGACTAACTTCAAGTTATTTGTTATGTATTAAATGGAAACAAAAATCAATATACAATATTACTTTGTGTGAATTCATTTTTTTTATCTAGGTTAAACAAACAAAACAACAGGAATTGTGGGTCGAAAACCAAATGTAAAAAGAAGTGAGGATCAGCACTTCAATGATTCTCATGTTATATACATAAGTGAAAATGTTTTGCACTACACTGGAATAAGATGTACCTCTTGTAGAGAGCAGAGAGCAGCGAATCTTGGGTTTGATACCCAGAGGAACCACATGCTTGGCGCCTGATGGGGGCAGCCTCTGAACAGTATATATGCTGCTAACACAACAATCTTCTAAATTTCCCAAAGGGAACTCCCAAAGGGATTAATAAAGTATATATATAT